TCAGAAAGAGAAAGAAAAATACCATATGATATCACTTATATGTGGAATCTCAAAAAAAAAAAAAAGACAAATGAACTTGTTAGCAAAACAGAAACGGACTCACTGACATGGAAAAAAACTTATGGTTACCAGCAGAGGAAGAGAGTGGGAAGAGATAAATCAGGAATTAGAGATTTGCAGATACAAGCTAAATATAAAATAGATAAACAACAAGTTCATACTATATAGCACAGGGAACTAGATTCAATATCTTGCAGTAACTTATGGTGAAAAAGAATATGAAAATGAATACATGTATGCTCATGTATGACTGAAGCATTATGCTGTACATCAGAAACTGACACAACATTGCAAATTGACTGTACTTCAATAAAAATGTTATTTTTAAAAGGTAGAATTTTTAGTATACATTAATTTGTTAGATTTGCAGTCTATGCTTAGTTGCCTACTTAATTAATAAAAGATTATTTTTTATACATGAATATATATTAAAATTCTTTATAGCAAGAGGTGCTAGAGGTCCTTATAGAGAAGTCAGAGAACATAGGGAGAGGGTAATGAAATGGTGACATTAAAGTATATCTTAATGTTTGTGAAAATGACTATTCCTTTTCAACCTATAAGCACAAAATAAAGTGCTACTATAATGTAAGGTGACTTTTTTACTTTTTATTATTGAAAGTCTCAAACATATGCAAAAATAGATTATTATAATGAACCTCAAATGTCTATCCACTGATATTATTTCATCTATACTCCTCAACACTGCCCTCTCCTCTCACCACTGGATTATTTTAGAGCAAATCCCACATCATTTCACCTTATTATTTCAGGATGTATCTCCAAAAAATGATTTTAAAAGACATAACCACAATACCATTCTCATATCTAAAAATTAAAACATGTGCCTCTTTTAAAATACACTAGAATTTGCACATGCAAAGGAGTATTCTCTTCAAAGAGTCATCTTAAAAGGCGATAATGATGCTAGCATTTCTAAAAACATTTTTGGAATATTTCCCAGGATTATATTCAAGATTTATAAGGTATACCTTAATTATCCCAAATGATGATAAATTTTTACTCTTCAAGGGTAGGCTTAACTTGAAAATAGTCAAAAGTCTTTGGGAATAAATCCCAATAAATAGGGGGAGTATTAAGACTGAGCAGGACTGGTTTTGCTAAAGGGAGTAATATACACAGAGAGGCAAAAGGTGTGTCCCTTTCATGAAAGGAGTCTGATGCTCATAAACTAGCTCAGAAACTACCCTCATTGACCAGAGATGCTGGGTAAGAAAAAGAGTTCTGTTTTATTGGGAGCAGAAGCAGGAGTGAAACTAAGAGAATAATGTGAGAGGCAGCTGGGAAAGAGCCAGCCAACTGCTGAAAGGAAGTTATGCTTAATCTTTGTACCCTAAATTCCAGTGATTCCAGCCACTTTCAGGATTTATCTTGCATTTCAGGCCTGCGTGCTTTTGCAAACAATGTTCCCTGTAATTGGAATGCCTACTCCCACTGGGTGGACTCACTGGGTGAATCTCTAGTCATCCTTTAAGACCTTGATCAAATATTACTACATTCCTTGACTCTCTCTCGCACAATTAGTTATCCCATTGTCTGGCCTAGCTGTACTTTATAGGTATATCTTTGACATCTCTGTGACTACTCTGTAATTATTCAGATATGTCTATATTTCCCCAGTTAGACCGGGAGCTTCATTTTTGTATCTCTGGCACACAGACAGTGACTAGCACATAATAGGCCTTCAGTAATCATTTGTTTAGTACACAGATACAATTCATAAGCTGTGTATCTTTACATGGTATAGAGCTGGAAGTGTCCTCATAATGCAGCAAAGTAGTTAGTTGTAGGTTTGAAACATTATAAAATAAAGCAAAGAAGAAAATTCCTACGCAAGAGAACTGTTTGTAACAGAAACCCTGGAAGTTTCAGATGTTGACAGTGGAAAGTTACAGCACAGAACTGCGCAAAGAAATGTTAGCAATTTCTTTTCCTCTTTTTAACAATAAAATTTCCAAATCCATTTTGGGGATCATAATTATTTTATTTTTCTTTGAGGGATTAATACTTGGGGAGTTAACAAATTAAGTACCAGTGAAAATTAAGTTTAAACTTAGTTGATGTACATTTTTCTCAAAATAAATTCAGAAGGCAGAGCACAAAGCATAAAAAAAATGAATCAACTACTTCAAAGGAAATAGATGACTGATTCTTAAGGTCACTGTGTAAAAACTAAAGAAATTTGGAATGACTGAAACTATTAAGTATGCTCTCTTGTCAGGACGATTCATATACTCCTCTCATTTTCTCTCCCACCTTCTGTCCCAGAGCAAGAACCCCAACCACTCCCACTCTAGTGACCTGGCCTTGGGCCTTGGCGGGAAGCAGAAGCAATTCTTCCAGCATTGTGCCAGTGGCGTTGCCACACCTGCCGCACCTGTGGCTTAGTCCTAGGATGAGAAATAAAGGAGTCTGTGGGTAGCCCAGGTGGGTAGAAAGGAGAGCCACCTGTAAAGAACAATTGCATCTGATGTCACCTGTTCTTGGTTGAACCTGAATTTTATCCAGACAATAAAACCTGTTTTTCAGAGTGATTGCAGAGCTCCGGCTGGCTCACAGCATATTTTCAAACTAACTTTTTTTTTTTAATTCAGTAAACCCACAAAAATATTTACAATCCTTCTTTTCAGGTGGTAAAGAGCCTATTGAACCATGCTTGTATGAAAACAACCTGATTTGGATACAGAAGAACAGGACTGAAGTAGTTGAGCAACAGGTTTGCTTGGTTTTAAAGGTTACATTGCACAACCTGGGCAAGACATCCCATGATATGAAAGATTGTTCTAATTCAACCCAGAAATTCGGCCAGACCACCCAGGGACTTAAAAAAGCTCTTCAGCCTTCACAAAATAGCAAGGATCTCACTGACCTCATGACACATGGCCTCTTGGAGCCTGTGGCCACTCTCAACTTGAGAATATATGAAATAACAGCACTTAGGTTTTTCTAGTTTTATAAAGGAAATCTTTAAAAAAAGAAAGAAAAAAACAGAATCCAAAATTGTAGCCTGAAATGAATGCATGAACACAAAGTTGAGACTACAGAAATGATGCTAATCCAAATAACAGTACCATTTTTATATTGTTTGAGGACAGTGTATTTTGATTGTTACATATAAGGAATTGCACATTCTCAATAAGAGAGAAACAATGAAATGTTCAAGATTCCCTTTTATCTTTTGAAATATCAAATACCAAAAAGTAAGATTTAATCTGTTTCCCGATTTCAGAGTTATATGAGAGATACCTTCTTAAATTCTCAGAGAAAACAAATCTAAAATATTTAAAATGATCTCTCTAAATGTATTTATTAATGGTTTCAATGTGCTAAATTGAGATATATTTGTTTTTACCAAAGAGGGTTTAATTTTTATTTGCTGGGTCTAACTTTTGCATATGAAAGTTCAAAACTGTTCATTGTGACTGCTGCTTCCTAGTTAATCGTCAATTCAGTTCACATTAATAATGCCAATTTTAACATGCGGATCTATCCATGACATTATACTTGCCTGGAGGAATCAATCATTAAAAGGATGAGAGAGAATTCATCACCCTTATTACTTCTTTTAACCACATTCATGAGAATAATGCACCAATTATTATACATTAATCTTAATAGGTTTCTAAGGGCAGATTTCTGCCTGTGATTTGAGCTTATAAGCCTTTTCTAAAGAAATTCTACTTAAAAAGTCAACTCATTGCATCAAGAAATTGATCACTCTATAATACAAGACAAATTCTTTCTGAATTTTTTTACTATTAAATAATTTCAAACTTACAAAAGAATTGCAAGAATAGGACATAAAATTTCTGATACCCTTCCTCCAGATTCACCAATTTTTACCAGTTTGTCATATTTGCTTTAGTGCTTGCTTTCTCTGTGTCTATATTTATAGATATTATTTTACATAACCAGGGGATTTTAACATTAATACAGTATTATGTAATTGTCTTATATACTGTCCATATTCAAGCCTCACCAATAATGATATTTACAGCAAATTTCCCCCTAATCTAGCATCTAATCCAGGATTACTTATTGCACTTAGTCGTTATATCTTTTAATCTCCTTTAATCTGGAAAGTTTCCGAGCCATTCTGTTTTTCAGGACACTGAAATTTCTTAAAGAATATAGTCCATTCGTTTTTATAAAATATCCTCCAATTTGGATATCTTTGACGTTTCCTCATTGTCAGACTAAAGTATGTTATTATCAGCAAAAACGCTAAATAAATGATGTGTCCTCAGGGCATCGCATCAGGAGTACACAATGAGAGCTCTTCTCATTAGTGATTTTAATTTGATCACTTGGTTGAGGTGATGCTCCTTAGCAAAACAAGATAAATTACTGGCTGAAAGAAGTAAATAATTAGATGAAATTTTAGAATTATTTTGTGTGGGTTGTTTTCTGAGTATTAAAATTTTGTTTTTAATGATACAATACCAAGCACACAAAATAAGAAAATATACAGGCCTTGCTATTAAATGAAATGCCAGGAATCCTGACAAGAGATATTATTTATTGTATCAATGACTACTGGGACTACATGACCTAATCAAAGTAGCTTTGATTTATTTTATGCATCTTACCTGCAAAACACTTCATGTTATTTCTAAACTTTATTACACACCTGAAAATTTTTAATTTCAGCTCCATTTTGCTTATGAGGCAAGAGAATTCCATTGGGATTAACAAGTAGTAAGTGGAAAAGACAAGATTTGAACTCAAAGCGACCTGTATCTCAAAGCCCTGCTTGTTCTAGCATAGCATATTGTATTTATTTTAAATGAAAAATCTAAATTTCTCTATGTTAGTTAAAACCAAATATAAATGTTAGTAATTTTTCTCCATATAAAAAGTAGATTAACTTTTGAAGATAAATTTTTAAAATACTAATGGTAAATTTTTACAATTATTTTAAGAGTATATTTTAGAATAGGCACTGGAAATAGTAGAAATCTGGTGTGCCAACTTTAAGTAAGACTCGGTGTATATACTGAACTTTTATTTATTTATTGAACTTTTACTTGCCATGTATCTCCCTCTTTATCATAGACTTTCCCCCCTTTTCTACAATTTCCCATTTAGCTATAGTGTTCATCTATATCCTTCTTTCTGGATATTTGGATCTCTGGATCTTTCTCTCTCTCTCTCATTTTGGCCTCTTTCCCTTTCCAAAAAATTTTCCACCTCTTTAGTGTTTCCTTCTTTCCAAGATATCACAGCTAACAGGGACTTAGGCACTGAGGATCATCTCAAGGGATCAGCCCTAAACCCTATGCCATTTAGCACTTCTATTAGTAATTTGATGTTGATAATTAATGGTAATTCCAAACTGAATGGGATGGCTGCAACCTAGGAAATTCACATTAAAACAAATTTCTAACAAGATAGGAAAATGGATGGATAAGAACAGTAGATGCTTTGCGGGAAACCAGCAGTGTAATTACTTTAGGAAAGAAAAATAATCTGTCCAAGCACAAGGTGGCACAGGATGGGCTTTATACAATATATCAGGAAAGTATAGAAAAGAACAGAGGATGAGAGTGATTCCCATTCTAAATATGAGCCAAGAAAGTAGCACAGTTGAAAATGTATCTAGTATTGTTATGTATGAACAATTTTACAAAATTGATTAACCATAACTTCCTTTGTTCTCAGCTTTGCTTAGTTCTAAGTTACAGTAATGTTTCTATGTTGACTGTTCACATTTTAAATTTATGCATCCTATGGAAATACTGGAAAAATAAATGCTTACAGATATATTACAAATTACTTAGATTCCAGGAAAAACCAACCAAGAACTTTAAAGGACATAAAATCAGGCCTATAAGGACAAATTTAAGAAACTGAACTTACTAGTCTACAATATATTACAGAACTGTTAATGTGGACTGTATTACAGCAGAAAATTTTTCAGATAAGGCCATGGAAATATTATTTATAGAATCAAAAACTATTTGAACTACAGGATCTACTAATAATATGTACTATTCACTGTATGGATACAAACTGCTAAGCATTTTATTATTATTTCCAAACCTTACACAGGCCTGAAAGGAAGTAATATTAGCTCTAACTTATTACTCAGTAATAAGCATTTTATTCTTTAATCAATAGGTGCTTACTTTAAAAAGTAAATGCCTGCTGGGGAAAAAAAAATCTTTTCAATCAGTCATATCTAAAAGAAAAGCATTTCATCAGATAATCATTTTGTTCCACTCAGTATCTAATAAGTAGCTGTTCTAATAGGGGAAGGGAAGGAGAGGACAGAATAATTGGGGATACCAAGACTTGGTGGGGACCAGTTTGAGTTGAGCATCAGAGCAGGACTGTGTCACTTAAAGGGTATAGAGGGCACATTACAATTTGTTCTGCACCTTGCATGGTGACAGTCTCCCTACTCCCACTGAGCATTATCTGCCTGAGTTTGGGAAGACGCCCTGGTGAGGGAATTTCCCTCCAGCATATCCCCATCAGCATAGCAGGCAGAGCCAGAGAAAATGCAGGAATCATACATGGTAGCTGCAAAGATGAACTTCCTGATTATAAGGATGAGTAAACACTGGAACCAGCTACTACTCAGATAGAGTCTGTAGAATCTCTATCCTGAAAGGAGAAGTTCTCCCATGGGAAAGACATCTGTGGACCACATACCACTGACTGGACATGACTGGACATACTGAGGGAGGACAAGCTTTGCTTCGAATGAGAAGCAAAGGAGATTTTTTATTATTATTATTATTATTATTATTATTATTATTATTATTATTATTATATCCAGTGAGTAAAGTATTCATTTCTGTCCAAGGCAAAAATAGACACCACGTTACAAAAAATTTTTATTCTGCAAGAGATCTAGTAAACAGACCATCTGGAGAACTTGAGTCCAGGTTTTCAGAACTGTCGATTGTTTTTTAATAGGACATCCCTAATTGTTTTAGGTAACAGAAGTACTTCCAGTTGAAAATTGGTAAAGGGTAGGCAAATTCTGGGGAACTTCATACACTAAAATATGCTTTTATGATTTCTCTAAACTCCCGTGTTCCCCTAAACAAGTTTATAAGCATTTGACAGGAAAACAGTGGGAGAAGTGGGGGG